TGCGTGCTGCCCCTCATGTCGCCCCCTGCAGGTCTACGGCAGGACTACGCCAGCACGTCGTCATCTGCCCTGGCCGGCCGCCGCAGCCAGAGCTTCACCTTCCAGCTCAGCCAGCTCAGCGCCGGCCCCGGCCTGGAGGAGGAAGACGAGGAGGACGACGAAGACTACGGCCTCCTGCCACCGCCGCAGCCGCGCCTCACCCGCCTCTCACACTCCCACACCTTCTGCAGCGTCCGCGACTGGCGAAGAAGCACCAGCTCCCTGTGCACCCCTCCTTCCACCCCCTCCACGCCGCCGCGCCCTTCCGCTGGCTCCGCCTACCTGGCTTCGCCGCCGGCGCTGCTGCTGTTGGGGCCGGGCGACCCGTATGGCATCGAGGCGCCGGGCTTCAACCCAGGATCAGGTGACCTCACTGCGCCGGTTCATTCCTACCCATCATCCTTCAGTCCTTCTGTTTCTCCCTCCAGTCTTCCTTGATTTATCCTTTTCTCTCCGTCTTCCAGCCTCTTCCTTTATTCAATCAGTTTTTCCTTCCTCCAATGACTAACCCAGGATCAGTAAATTCATGCAGAACTTCAGTTTTTTCCCCTCATCTGTAGTAAAAGCAGGCCCTCTGATCAGTTTCCTGCTCCGTTCTGCCTCCTCGCCATTCGGGTCTGACCCGGGCGGCTCATTAAAACTTGTCTAAGCCTCTTGTGCCGCGGCCCTCTAAGCTCTCGCTGCCGTGTGTCTCTGAGGGTTTGGTGGGATTAGCGTTGGGTCTTTACGTCCAGCTGAGGGGCAGCGAGCAGGAAGGACGCCTCAACGCTTCATCCTCAGAGATACAGATGATCAACAGATCCATGTTTTCCGTTTTCTGTCCTCGAACCGTTTTGTGCTTCAGGCCAACTAGTAGATTATTTATAGATGAAATCTGCTGCCGGTCACCTTTTAAAGGTTATTTCTGTTTGTCTTTATCAGATAAGCTGCGGAGGAGCATGCCTAACCTGGTCAGAGCTCCCAGCATGCCCAGTGTGCCCATTCCCACCTCTTCCAGTGCTGCTTCTTCTTCTTCTTTGCTTCGTAACAGCCAGAGTTTCGATTCCTCCAGCGGCTTGGCTCGCCTCCAGTCCTCCAGTAAGACTCCAGTGCCGCCGATTCTCTGTCGTTCTGTAACAAACGGGTCAGTGTTCTGTTTCCTCCTCTGCCTCAGTCCCCTCTCCAGGCCAGCTTCAGAACCGGGTCCAGAGCCTTGGGAGCTTCTCCTCATTGTCACGGCAACCACTGAAAGCCACCGCCTACGTCAGCCCGACGGTCAAGGGCCCGACCTCCGCCAGCCTCACATCTCTGAACGGCAGCGGCATCCCTCTGCTCAGCAAACCAGCAGGTGGAGGCTCCGCCCCCATGGCGCCCCGCAGCGGTCTGCCACGCCCCGCCTCCATCCTGGGCCCCACAGGCTCCAGCCCCCGCGGCAAGGTGGCTTTATCATCACGAAGGTAATGGGACCAGAACATCGGGATTGCTTAAAACTTGGGCAAATGCACAGATATGGTAGGCAATTTGAGCATATAATGATAGACGGTGAATATCATTACTCCGTCGGCTAAGTGATTATTGCCGTCTCAAAGGTATTTGACCTCCTGAATAGAATTTTTGCACAAACAAGCCACATTTTCATTGTAACTGAACCGAAACGTAATAAGCTGCCAAGCACAGGTAAATAGATGTTAAGGTTGTCGATGTCAATCTAGCATAACTGACCTACTTCTCACTTTCTCAATATTTTTTTAATTAAATTTAAACTTTTTCCTGACCTGTAAAATCTGAATCCCTTGGACTTTGTTATGTAGCTGTTACAATGTTCACAATTCATAGTAAAACATTGCGTCCCTTTTTCAGACTCTTTACAGTATTGTCATTTTGTCGACCAGCGATGCTCCTAACTCGGTGCATAGCAGTGGCGCCTGTGTGGCGTCCAATCCAGTGCTGTGTGTCAATGGAAGCAACAACTCATTGCTGTTTTTAAAATCCTGCTGTTTTTTTCCTTTTGTTAGCAGCTAGTTGTGCTATCATGTTAGCTTGTATAAACACAGGGACAGTTGAAGATTCAGTTTTAGGCTCCAAGGTCTTAGGTTTTTTTTTTTTTTTTTTCTTTTTTAAAGTGATGGAGCTGTAGCTAAAACGTATTTATTAGCTTCTGAGGTGATACATCTTTTAAAATGCTTCTTTGTAGCTTCCTTTTCCAGCTAGCTTTGCTGTAGTGCTAACGTTAACGCCACAGTTAAAACATTAATTAGCATCTCTGGTTCTAATAACTGCTAGTTTAAGTCGCTACTTTTCTAACTTTTGGAAATGGCTAACTGTGCTGCAGTGCTTATGCTAGCTTGTACATAGCCAATAATGACACATGGATATTCCGTTTTATGTGATTTTTATTTATTTTTAATTACCGTCATCGTCTAATACAGTGCAGATTATTTTTTATTATTTTTTTGCACTGTGATGATTAGAGTATATTGGAATGATGAGTTTCCCTGCTTGTCGAGAATCTTCATGCCCAGCTGGTTTAATACAATCTGTATTTTTCCTTTTCAGTTTACTGACGCCTCCAAAGAGCTTGTCCACCTTCAGTGCCCTTCGCGACAGCGCCTGGAGAGACGGCTGCTACTGACGGCTGACCACCCCGCAGGCTGGGGCCGCATCGGGGGCCGCATCGGGGGCCACAACGTGGGCAGTGAAGCTTCGGATTTGAGATTCTGCGTCGAACAGTCAGATTCTGTCCTCACGCGAACAATCTCCTAGATTCTATGCAGAATTTCTTCGGAGGACTCGGGTAATCTTTCTGGATCTGTGTGCGACGTTCACCGGTGAGTTTGGTGGTTTGGTGCCAAAAGTGAGCTGCTCTCTGTTGTGCAATAAGCCGCCGGCCGCTGGGTAACGCTGACGCTAACCAGCAAAGAGGGCTGCCAGTTTTTACTATATGAACCTCTGATGCCGTTTTTATTAAAATATTTATTTTAAATAAAACCGATTTGACTAATCTGGTGTAGTTGCCGTGGCAACAGTTGCCAGTAATGCTGCTAAAGTGTAATAAATCCCTGTTGGTTTGGGCACATTTGGTCTAATTTTTAGAGTATGATGTATTTGTGTACACACCTAACTAACTGTGCATATATCCGTTTATTGACCTATTGCAATATTTAAAGTGTAAATCGTCCAAAATGAAAATATGGGAATGTGTTTGGGGGAATGTCTCACTGTGGTGTCACCAGACTTTGTGCATATTAACACTGATCTTGTTGCACTTTGCCAGAAATCTCACAAATGTATTTGTTTACTAGTGTTTGCACTCTGAGACTCAATCTGGTGGATTTTGATAAAAACAAAACACACACACTGATCAAGATGGTTTTTTTCCAAGATCTAACAGTTGTACACTTTTTTTCACGTAGCACTTCCAGTTTGTTTAACTCGGTCCTTAATCGACGTTTAAAGGGCACATCTTTCATAATTTACACTGTTTTTTGTTACTGTGAACCTCTAGCATTTTACTAAAACTTAATAAACTCAGTATATTTGGCAACAGTTCTGAATGTCTTTTTTTTTTAAAATCACAAAATATGAATTTGCCAGTGAATTTTAAAAATGAGAACTCATGATGGTTTTGAAACGGTATCAGACGCCACCTAGTGGTGGCTTTCTAATGTCAGTTCCGTCCTGATTAGTTTTATGATGGAATAATCGGACAGGTTTCTGTTCCACCACTTTGAAATATTTCGTGAATATAATGCTTACTGTTTCCATTTAATAATCTTAAGATGCTTTAAAAGAGAATAAATTCATGTAGTTGACTTGGACATTGAAGAATTTTCTAATTCCCTCAGTTGAAGCACTTAAGACTTGAGCAAATAAGCTTTATTTGTTGTTGGTTTATTATTATTTTGTATTTATAAGACCGAGTCCAGATCACAGGGACTTGCAACAAACATCTTATGGGTGGAACACTGCCCCCATGTGGAGAGGAAGTCAAAATCCTCCTCATAAAGCTGTTGCAGGATGTTTGAGGAGATGAAAACTTGTAATATGGTGTATTGGTGACTTTTATTGTTGGATATTTTTTATGCAAGTTTAGAATTGCAACTAAAAGTTCAAACAGGATTTTTTTTTCCTTCAGCTATATTTGGTAAGCCACGTGAAGAGTCTGGGTCCATTCTGTTGCATAAAACCTTTCAGAATGAGTCAAAGATTCATTCAGCATTTCTAAATTATACCTAAGCCAATAATTAATCTGTTGACAGAACAATTACTAGCCATTTACATTATTGTAGTAATATTTCATTTTAAAGAGGAAACTTAACTGTGAGTTTGCCAATGCAAGGGAAAAACACATCAGTGATGACGTAAGAACTTCTATCTTATCAAAGATCTTGTTTAGTCAAAGACACCTCACTCTAAATGTTTGGGGGAGGAGGGGCTTCACATAACTCTCGGCATTGCTGATGCACAAGTTTTACCACAGTATTTTCTGGTGATAATTGACATGATACAAGTTAAAATCTGTCAGCCTTACGAAAAACATGCAGCTTATGGGTAATGAAGTAGGCTCCTTCTGTTGAGTACTTTAGGTCTACACAATTAATTCCAATTAATCATGTTTTGAAATATAAAAACTGTATTATGCAGGCAAAATGAGGGAAGAAAATTCAAATACAACAAAAGAACAAATCAGGAAAAAAAACAACCGAAAAACAAAATAAAAGGAGACAAACACAATAATGATCAAATCAACTGTGGAGAAAAGTAAAAGCAGAAAAAAGAATGAGGGAAGAAAAAAGGTAATAAAAAAAGGAAAATAAAATGTAATGTCATTGTTGCATTTAGATGTAGGTCTACAAGTTCTACAAAAATTACATATATATGAAATATTTATTGCATACGAAATATTTATTGCATACGAAATATTTTGTACATTTAGGTTAGCTTTATTTCAGTCGGTTAGTGGGGCATCTGTTCACGTCAGACGATCTTCGAACACACGCCCAGCCTCAGCATCAGCGCATCTTTTTTTTTTTCCACGCGCCTCTCCCCTCCACCCTCGGCCCTGCGTGACGCGCACAAACACTGCCGGACCTCCCGATCCTCGCGCTCTCCTCTCGCGCCTGCCTCGTTATGCCTTTGATCCCCGCCGGCCTGCCGCCATGTCCGCTGCCGATCGCTCCCTGCCGCCACTGCTGATTCTCTTTCTGCCGTCTTCGCTGCTGATCTGCCTGGATGGACCGCTGAGAGCGGCGGCGGAGGGCGGAGGCCTGTCCTCACCCCCATCTCCGCTCGAGGACAATGGCGTCCCAGCCGCCGTGGGAGACACCTCAGCTCTGGCTACAGGTAAACATCAGCAGATGATGCCAGGACAAACCCAGAGAAACAGTGTTTTTGTTGGGAGACAGAATGTCCATGAATAACGGTCCAAAACAGTTCCTTCATAATTAACCCAGAGCTGCTGACCTGGAGCCTCTGTGTTAATGAGGACCTGGTGGATTGGAGGTGAAGCTCCTGGATCTTGTGTGTGTCGGTGTAATTTTCCATAATCTCAGCTGCGCTCACCTCATCACTTTTTCATGGACCTTACGCCTCATCACACGTGCAGCTCTGATCTCCTCCTTGCTTTCTCCCCAGAAGCCCAGTTTTCCTTGAAGGTTCTGGTGAGAGACCTGGTGACCCGCCGGCCGCTGGCTGGGGCCTCCGTGGACGTCTACCTGAACCACACCTCAAAGAGTTCAGCCCAGACGGGGGAGGACGGGGAGGTCCTGCTCTGGGTGCCCTACAATCCGGGTGTTAGTTTGACTCTGCTGGGCTATAAGGAGGGGTATGTACCCACCCCCCTGCCCTGGAGCACCACTAAGAGACCAAGTGAGTGACAGAGACGGTACCGTTAGGAACACCTTCCATGTTATTTACAGTAAAGTCAGCAGAACCCTCAGCCTCCCTCACATCTGCATTGTTCATGAGTGTTACTGAGGCGCTTCTGACAACACACAAGATGCGCTCTGCTTATTTTATTGACTCCATCGACGTGTCACCGGACCATCTTTGTCCTGCTCAGAAACAGGGAGGCTGGGGGCTCCTGATGGGACAAAGGGCTCCTCTCTATTGTCTTGTGTCCCCCAGTGGGTATGGGTTTGGCAGCGACGCAGCAGGGTGGTGGCGGTCTAGATGGAGGATGGAGCAGGTGTTTTATGGCTCTTGTTTTTCAGAGACACCTCCCCTTTGTGCTTGTGATCCAGACTGAGGAGTCCTAGGAAGACGCATGACAATGAGGACTCCACCTAGTGGTCAATGTACACAATTGCATCTTTGTTTCTCTTTTCCCCCAGTCCTATCCAGCACCCTGCTAATATAGTGTTTTTGTTCCTATTACACCAGATGCCTATTTCACCAGAAGCAACCCATTTTTTGGTTCCACCAAAATATGGAACCTTAAAGTTCCATTTTTGTCTCAAACGTGTTGTTGATCATAAACATTTTTGGTTTTATTACAGTTTTCTCCGCTGTGACGTTGCTGCTGCTCCCTCACAGTCAGGGAAACATCTGGCTGTTTGAAGACTCGGTACTCATCACCAGGAACTTACCTGGTAGGTTCACCTTCATCTCAGTGAGACAATTTACATAAAAACACATTTTCAAAATTTTTTATTACGCTTCACCTTTTCACAGACAGCTCATCCCAACCTAAGGCCAAGTTCCCCAAGAACCTCCTCACAGTTTCTGATAAAAGCAACATCTCTTCACTGATGGCATACCTGACTGTGCCACAGCACCACCTGGCAAAGGACTGCACCAACTGCACCCCAGGGATCATCAGCAGTAAATCTGGTTAGTATTTTATTTGACTTACTAAGGGTCGTCTGAACCTGGAGATTTGAAATTCTTATGAAATCTTTCCAGTGCTCAGAAGCATCGAGCTGAAGGCAGTAGCAGCAGTCAGCATTCAGTTGTATTCCGGCAGCCAGGAGCTTCAGGTCAGAGGACCCATCCAAATCAGCCTGCCGCTGGAACACAACACTCACTTGAGGTCCTCACACACAGTACCTGCCTGGGCATTCAACCTGAAAACAGGTAGGTGTAAAACTCTTTGAGAATATCAGAATGCACGAGTGACATAAGCTTGACTACATGAACCGATGCTCTGCGAAGGCGCCTGGGAGAATCACGGTCTGGGAATAGTTAAAGCAGTTGGTGACGAACTGGTTTGGACATACACTGCGTCCCATCTGGGCTACTGGATCGCTGCCCCCCACCCTTCGGCAAAAGGTACCTCAGGTGTGTTTTCTACGTCACATAACGGTGCTGCGAAAACATGTTTTACGCCTTCGGGATTTTATTTTTGGCCTTAATAATCACATCGATAGCTGAACTCTTTTGTTGTTGTAGAACCATCAACCTTAACCGAGGCAAGTTAGGTGTGTAGAACTTTTAGATGTTTGTCCGAGTTCTGTGACCTCCTGGATGAGTTGGGGATGCAAATTCAGACTAATTTTTATAGGTTGGATACCCCTTCACCAGTGTTTCATATTTTATCCATTTTCTAGATAATGTTATCTCTGGTTACTTGTCTCTTTAGATTGAGAGAGGTTGTGTAATATTTTGAATTTTATCTCAGTTCCATTGATTACTTCATTGTACAGGTTGCTCATGAATCTGAATTTAAAAAATGTGATTAAATAAGGTGGTAAACACCTTTTCACATCACTGTAAATACGCTATCTGATACCAGGACAAACCTGTCATTTTTCTTTGTAGATTATTTCGGACACATAAATTCTGTGGATTTCATCTCTTACCACACCTATCTTTTGGTGGGAATACTGGGAGGAACTCTTGCCATAGTGATTGGATTCCTGTCCTTGCTTCTCTGTCACTGCGGGTAAGAAAAATACTCATCGCATCAATTATAGTACATATAAATAAAGGTTGCTGAGGGTCCAGATAACCAACCCAATTGAGTTTTGCCGTTTCCACATCCAGCAGTTCCCGTAAAGAAGCCACAAGGAGGAGAAGGGCCCGCTTTTCCAAACTCACTGTAGTAAAAAAAGACCAGACAACCTCCACCCACACGGAGGAGGGTTTGCTTCTCCGATCTGGTGACAACAGCCTTGCCTCCTGCAGCGTCCAGTGTGAACCTTCATCCACACCCAGACACAAAGCCAACTACAACATCTATGTGGAGGATCCGGGGAGTCTGACCGCAGCTCCTCCTTACGACAATATCACTTCAGATCGGATGAAGGCGACTCAGCCTCCGCCGCACTACATCAACAATGAGGACGTTGCTCGGATATGTGAGAAAGCAGAGCAAAATCGGGCCAACATGAACTCTGACAACTTCTTTCAAGACAAACTGGTTCACATCTACAACCAGCCGGTGGCGATTATTCAAGCTCCTGAGCTGTTTGGTGCTCAGGAGCAGCAGCTTCCAGGGTGCAAGGCTGCCACTTTCCCCAGGAACGGAGCTGAATACGACACTCATTCTGAGCCTGCGAACAAAGACAACTACACCCAGACACTACCCAAAGTCCACTCTCAAGGCGGGAGCAGTCCACAGCAGGGCAATCCGGATGAGCCTCAGCCTCTGGAGACACCCCCACCAGGACAAGGTCCTACTGCTAGTGTCTGGGGACGCTATAGTAACCTTCTGGAGTCCTCTGTATCTGTGCCAGGGACTCTCAATGAAGCGGCCGGTATGGAGGCCTTCAGCAGTGGCCACAGCAGCGAGCTCCAGGGGATTTCTGAACGCACCTTACTGGAACTGACTCGCGGCAAGTCCTCATCGGCTCACCCCAGGGCTTGGTTTGTGTCTCTGGATGGAAAACCAGCCGCCCAGGTTCGCCATTCCATCATCGAGCTCCAGAGTCGCCACCGGCCACCAAGCAGCAACGACACCAGCCTGGACTCTGGCGTGGACATGAATGAGCCCCTGCAGAACATCCGCGACATGGAGCGTGACAGGCCATCGATGAGGGGCTCCTCCCTGCCGCATCACGGCAGAGGCGGCCGTTACGTTGAGGAGCAAGACCTGAGCAGCAGCGAGAGCGGCACCACTGCCACTTGTACGCCAGAGGACCCTTCCCTAAGGAACATTCTAGACGGGAGCAGTGGAGCTATTCCCAATATTCCCGAAGAGCGGGACGGGATGGATACATCCAGCGCACAAGAGGACAGCGAGTCGAAAGGTACACCACCACCTCGACGACTTCGGAAGGTGAGAGAAAGAGGGAAGGCAGAGAAGAGAAACACTAAGCACGTCCGGGAGGGAAGACCTTTGACCAAGAGAAGTTAGAGCTCACTTTAGACGTACACTTGAGTGACTGGAATCATGTTCTCAAATTTGTGTTTACTTAGGCAATGTTGTTGTCGAGTCCCGTGATTGTACAACTTTGCCAAAGAAAGCATAAGCTGACTGAAGATGCGCGGCACATCTACGGTGTTTCACATTGAATCCTGACGCAGGTGCCGTTTAACCCTCCCGTTATATTGTGGGTCAAATTGACCCATTTTAAATTTCAAAAATCTAAAGAAAACTGTTAAAAGTAGTTTTTTCTGTTTGGAATTTCTTCTGTTTGACTTAATAAGCATAAAGAGCATACGAGATGAAAATTGGTTATTTTATGTAGTTTTAACCCCCTTCACATCTACATAGAGGAGTCAAATGTAGGTGTAAAAAGGGTCAAAAGTGATACTATTTGTTTGTTTGCAACTGTGAGACTAATTTCACCTGATACACAGACACACAAACACACACCCTCTCCCTTTTCTCTTTACCTCACTAGTAAACTGTGAGAAGCCTTTTCTGTTCTCATGAGCAAATCTGATCCATGTTGAGTGGACACAGAGGAGGGGGCAAACATATGAATATACAAAAACCTTAAACATTGTACAATGTAGTCGTTTTCAGATTTTCAGTATCCTTAAAAAGGGGTTGAGGGGCTAACATAACCCCTGTGATGGCTCTAGAAAGCAAGAACATGTTGTGCTCATGAACAATTTGCACAAAAGTGTTGAAATGAGCACTTGAAAGGACCAGAAAGAAAGTATGACCCTTTACTACTATGCTACCAAAGGAAGAATAGACAACTTGGACAAGATTACTAGGTCATACAGCACACTGGCAGTAAAAAAAAGAAAAAAATATATATAATTTTCATGTATAACCACTGATTTTTCTTTGTAGGTTTTCCTAGTGGATGTAAAAAAAAATAATGAAGAAAATATTGTTATTGCCGTAAATATTGATTGAAATTGTCAGCAATAATCAGATGTAAAATTGTTTCGGAGAAAATGTTTGGATTCTGACACGACTACACTGAGAGGATTACTGCTACAACGCAGAATTGAACATAACGGGAGGGTTAAGAGGTTTCTGCACCTCATCCTGTCATTTCCTCAAATCTGAACATCACCAGCGAGATTCTTCAAAGCTAATACAATACGTAACCATTCCCAGTGTTTGCATTACAGAGGGTGCCTTTCTTACTGCCTGCAATCACAAAATGTAATTAGTTTCCTTGTATTTATTGAAAATCTGAAATCTGTAGGATGGACAGTTGTACCGATCCTCACCACAAATGCCTGCTTTAAATTCAACAAGCTTTCCTAATTCTCAGTACTCTCACTTGATTTTTGAACATACTGCCTCAATAGGACTGCAACACTGAACTGGAGAAAGACTAACACACAAGTACAGAGCTGCCACATGACTTTCACACGTGATATACGATATCTTAGGTCTGCAGTTGCTTTTATTTGCATGAAAATGAATGTTTCCTTTAGCGAGTGAACACATAGAGCCACAGAGTAAATAGGAGGTCAGAATAGCTTTTAGACAACTCGGTGACCGAATGTTTTTACTGTCAGGTCTTGCCATACGACTCAGTGTTGCGCTGCCAATTGTAACTATTCCAATTCTGGGATTTTTACTCAACAGTTAGAGGAGCGAAGGAGCCGATATTTGTTTATTTCCAAGTTTAGAAATGTATTCAGGGGATCTACCTTAATGGGTTTATATGCTTTAACGTAAAAATAGGTTTTACTTTCATCGTCCACTGATCCAGTCAGGATACTTTTAGGCCAGGATCTTGATACGTTTTCCACGTCGTGGTGCATGATTTGAATGATCGACTATCAAACGGAGGGTTGAAGTCGACTAAATGTTTTTATGCTTTTGAACTGCCAAGGGAGCTAGTCACACACCTTAGTTTGCGAGTCGTGGAAAGCGAAAGCCGACGTCTTTCCTGTCAGTTGCTGCCGCGCAAATTCATGCAAACGCACATCTTTGTGGTAGTTGTGATAAATGGGGGTGGGGGGAGTGTTATAGTGGGTGGGTTAGGTTTCCTGAAAAGACCCAGTCTGATCTGACTTATGAGCTTATAGGGCAGGCCAAAAGTTTGGAAGCACAAAACAGCATATTGGTATACTTTGCAACAAGATAACATAAAGAGACTTTTATTACAATGTATTTTGCTATATTTATCAGGTGTTTGGATTGAGCTGCTATTTTCTTGAAAATAATTTTTGAAGAAAAGCATTAAACAGTTGTTTCCAAACTTTTGGCATGTCTGTATATTCTGAAAAATACATAGAGGACCAATAGCATCAATTTAAGATAGAATCCTTAAAAGGATTAAGATGACAAACATGTAGCTACCGTCACACTGTCATCAGTCCTGGGAACAACTAGCCTCGGTATGTAAAGTTACGAAGCCTTCAGAGACATTTGAAACTGATCAGGATGAAACAGAATAATTCTCACCACAAATGAATATTTCTTGCAATTCAACTTCACCTTTATAGTCTTCCATTATAGCTCTACTGCTACATACTTTTAATCATGATTGATGCTCGATTCCGTATATTCAAGTGTTATCTTTTATATGTAAATACCATTTTCTGTGAGCACTAGTTTAATGACGTCACCTTGTTTATTTTTTTGGTTTCTATTTGAAAGAAGGTGGAACAATCTACTCATGTTGTGTTAGTGTGACTTATTTTAAGGTCGTCTCAGTGGACGGAGCCTTGTAAGACATGTAGCTTGATCACGAATACACTTTCACTCACCGGTCATCAGCTCGAAAACGCAACGTCTCCCTGCTTCTCTGGTGAGATGAGAAGTAGTGTTCAACACTTTGTGCAGATATTCTTGTCGAGAACAATAAACTTGTTGTCGCTCTGGTTTTTGTAGCGATCCAGATGAATGTAAACTGTACTAAATTTGCTGTGGATCCATCCACCGTCACGCCTTTGGTTTCTTCCAAACGGGCCACCGCTTGTGTTTTTACCTTTGTAGTGATGTTAGTGTTCTTGTAGTTATTGCATCTTTTGAGAACTTGCTTAATAAACTTACTTCATACTAAAATACCCTAAAGGAGTCGGTTTACTGATCTAGTAATTAGACTGAAGTGGATTGAGTGAAATGTGCAGACATCCTAGTCTGCTTTTATTGTTTGTTTATTGAAAATCCGGTCATTCTCAGCTCCAAGCCGTCTCCCGTTGCGTCTCTAACAGTCTCCTTCTCCACGTCTTTCAGATGCACTTTGGCTTTCCTGGAGGCCAAAGTGCCGGGAAAACCTTGAGTCTTTTTGAAGGGATTCATGCTGGAATTCAGTGCTGGCCGACTAAAAGACGAGGCATCTATCAATACCTCTGAGTTAGGAGCGTGACGCGCAGGAGAAGGTTTGGTACTTTGAGCGAGCAACGCTGTCCCAGGGACAAACAGATGTTTCAGGTCGTCTTCCTGGTGCTGGAGGGAGGTGACCTCAGGAGAGCTCTTCTTCCTGTCCGTTGGTCTCTGACAGTAGATGATGTATCCGTCTAGGGGACAGGATCGTGACCTCAGGAGGATCTGGTCCACACAGTCCATGTGAAACTGAGGGAACAGACGAACAAACATCACGGCGCCTCCAAAAAGTATTAGAACGTCTTGAACTTCTTCACATTTTGACATATTACAAGCCAAATGTCAGTTTATTTCACTGGGATTTTCTTTGTTCGTATTGTGAAGTGCCAGGAAGATCATTTCCTCTACAGAGAAGTTTAGTCTGTAGAGTTGAAGCTTCTCAACTGGATATGTCATTCTAAAACATTACACCTGTACTGTTTTTGTCTCATCTGACTTGTGTTCAACTATAGATGGTGGAGTCCGGAAAGGGACGCCAGGGAATGCATATCCCAGTTTTAAAGTTTGAAAACACTGGCAGGGTTAGCAGGAAGAGTTGTGGGTACCTTGTGTTGACAGGGCAGAGTTCGGAGCTGCTGACCCTGACCGAATCCCCGCAGGCAGATCCGACACTGCATCCCCTCATCCAGCAGCCGAGAGCCGCGCCTCACCTTGGCCACGGGGACACGCTCCAACACGAAGTCCGCAGGAGGCTCCGCCGGAGCGCTGAGGAGAAGACGGCAACACTTAGCAGCGCGTGAGCACGGCAGGAACTAAATCCTCCCTGAACGCACCTTCCATCCCGTGGCTCTGGATCCAGGGTGGAGCCCTCAGTCACAGGAGTCCACTCCTCTTTTCTTGTCTGTTTCAAGTGAAAAAGATTGTTTCATTCAGAAGCCGTTTAGGTCACAGCGGTGTGACTGGCTGAGGTTAAATCACAGAGCTTTACTGTTCTTGAAGCAAGAGGATGCTGCGAGTGGCTGCCTTTCTTCACGCAGGTCTCACAGAGATACAAAGAGCTGCAGAGGCTGCATCTGCAAAAGACACAACAGACTTCTTTGATCTACTTCGTCTCGTAAGATAAATGCTATTCTGTTTCAGAGCATCCAAGTGAGAGAACTGGTCTGGTTCCCTTCTACTTTATCTTCACTCAGAGGAACCACAATTTAAGCTGGTGCCAGTTTAGGATTGGATGGAGAATTTGAGAGGAACCAACCAGGACTCAGAACTATAAATGAGGCTCACCAGTAGAGTCTGGCCTCTTCTCCTGCTGACTGACTCATCTGTCCATCTGCTGCTGCTCTGGAGCTCGGTTTGGTGAGTAAAAGGTTGTGGTGGGAGTCAGAGGACCAGGTACGTTTGGGGTCCCCTGTACATTTTTCTGCTTTACCAGGTAGGTAGGTCGGTGAGCCTTTTTGTTAACTAAGGATAACAGAGTTTTTTTTCTTTGTTTGTCCTTTGAGCTGACAGTCAGATCCTGTTTAGTTTCTCTGCTTTGCTTCAACCTAACTGTCCCTTTCTCTCCGACTATATTGGCAAAACAATCTTCTTTCCCAGAGGCCGTTTTATTGTGGTTGTCATGTTTCAGAGGTGTTCACACTATTAACACACCATTGTGGATCCATGTCCGATGAAAATCTGACTACATTTACTGACGATGGTGAGTTCGGATCGGTTGCGACGGTAAAACACATTCAGTCGGCACTAAGGAGACCACCCGATTTAACTACTGGTTTCTGACACAATGACTCCAGATTTTGACCTGATGCTGCAGCTAAGATGGAGTCAACTCAAACCTGTGTTTCTTCAGTGACCCATCAGCATGACCCGTAATCGCAGGTTCCTATTAGCTGATTTACTGTGTTAATAAACCATAGCAGCTAGCTGGTGTTTGCTTCCCCATCCTGTGCTGAGTTAAATTGGATTTGTCTCTTCTAAGGTGGGCAGCCTGGCTGCAGCAGTGTTGGTCTGGTCCAACCCACCTGTAGCAGGTCCCAGTGACCGGGCCCGCTCTGCAGCTGCAGCAGACCGCTCCCAGGTGTCTGTCTGCTCGCTCCCTCTCAGCAGCAGTGAAGAGCCTGGCTGCGTTCTTAGCCTGCTCCTGGAGCAGCTGCAGGGAGCTGAAGCTCTCCCTGCACAGGGGGCACCGCAGCATCTCCTGGCCGACTGACAGGCCCTGGTGGTCGGCCCACACCTTCATGCAGGAGATGTGGACGCTGTTACCACAGCCGTACCTTACAGGGACAGACGGAGAGCATCAGGAGATCTGACCCCAGAAACTGAGGTAAACGTTCCGGTCAACAGAAACCGCCGCGACCCAAACCCACCTGCAGTAACACACAGGCTGTTTTTTCTGCAGCAGCCCCTCCAGACAGATCGGACACGCGTCCTGATTCTGAATCTCTTTCCGGCAGATGACTCCGGTCTCTTGTCCTGGAAGGCTCTGGTGGGGAGTCCCAGCAGCAGAGGCTTTAGCCTGGTGTGAACCCTGGAGAACCTCCAGCAGCTGGCGCTCTGATAGCCCCGGCTGAAATGCATCTGAAGTGGAAAAACACGACCTGTCGACGGATCAAAACTACAAAAGGTATTCAAAGCAGCAATGCTTACACTGGTGCTCTCTGGGTAGCCGGAATTTCCTCAGCAAAAGCCTGGAATCACACATTATTGGTTAGTGGGCAAAATCAATGTAAGGTTTCAAATATTCTTTTCTTTTAAGCAAATATACTTCAGTGTTAAGGTAATTACAGACCGCCAACTTCTGCTAACTAGTGGGTCTGCATGAAAATATGCCTTTACCTGGTGTGAAACAATAGAACATGTAATGCAAAGTTGGATTAAAGCCCATCAAAAGTGTCATTATTTACCAAATGACACTTCGTGACGACAGTCATAAACACTCATGAAGTCTCCCTTCATGTTCCTGACCGGTGTTTTGTCATGGTTACGACAGTATCATGTCACTCTTAAGCACACCCCTTCAAAGTAAAGCGTTACCAAAATATTAAATGCAAGTTTGAAAGTCGCTGGCTCAATATGAAGAACCTGGACAACATTTGAATCAAATTGAGAAGCAAACTGTGTGTTAGTGATACCAGCAGATGTGTTTGCACGGCTGCTGCTCCCTGGTGAACGTTGGACAGGTGCACGTATGTCGCTCGCCCAGGCACACCTGGACAAGAAGAGGACATTCTGGATCTTTTTGCTCCTTGATCTCTTGAGTGGACCCCCACTGTCCCAACGCGACCGACCTTAAAGTTTGCCGTCTCTCCATCCTCCTTGAGCAGGAAGGCAGTTGGGCCGAAGGACCGCAGCAGGAATACGGTGGAGCTGAGGGCTTGATCCTGGTGGGAGTTCACCGTGTCGCTGGGAACGTTCCTCCAGCCGGTTCGCCTGGACATCATGTCGCTGATGGGAGGGGAGGAGCGAGGTATGGATGTACACCAGAACATTATGGGAAACGGATATAACAAAAGGACATGACATCCCATAAGCTGTTTACAAGGAGTGATAATTTGTTGCAACAACATAGAGACCATCTATGAAACATTATGGGATTGATTTCAGAGCAAAACATGATTATGTCTGGCTGGCAAGTGACACTGTTTATCATAGAAAACTAAAGAACCTATCTGTTAGGTTCTTTTGTTCAGATTTGTCAGATCTTTATGAAAGGCAAAAATTACAGAGACGTAAATAGGTCAACCTGTAAAACAACCAAAAAAAAAAAAAGAGAATACTTTTGAATTACAAATGTATTAATTTTATTGTAGGGAAACGTGTCATTCACTTCACTTTAAGAAATATGTATTACCTGTTTATGCTTTAATATTTGGTTTTATTAACTATTCCTGCAGATAATACATATTTCTCTTGTAGCTGATAGTATGGCCTTTGTAGCTTGCATTAAATGACCTACTTTGACCTCTATTTGCTTTTTAATGTGGTTATGTAAACTCTAAAACAGCGCCCCTCATGGTGGCAGCACCTTACAGCAGCTCAGCCGGTTCTGATTGGCTCTTTTTCTAGTTTAGTTCATTTTCTGTCTGAATCGTTTCTGTTTGGACAATTCCTCACTCTGATTCTGGACCCTTATCAGCTGAAATGATTCATGCTCTTACTTTGTAACTTTCAGACAGTTGTTACGCATCGAAATGCCCGAAGCGACGTTGTTAATTTACAAACAGCTCGGCTCTAAGACGAGAATTCAAGGCAACAGACAAAGCGAACTGTTTGGATATTAAAACTGCTTAAATGAATACATAAATAAACTACTTCAAGTTAAAGTGGACAGCCTAACCTGTTTCGGCACGAACGTCTTAGAAAGTAACCTGAAATTTCCTGTTTTGCGCCAAAACGATAAGACGACAGAACTTTACACTCGAACCGACTCGGAGATCCTGTAGGCATGGTAACGGTAGACTTTTGTGTTTGACCGGCAGAGGGCGACATTGTCGAGAAATGGAAGATGCCCTTCCAGTTTGATCCGTTTTCTGCTGCTTGTAGACGAAACAGAAAT